ATTTCACCAACAGCTCGTTAAATTAATTAACTTGATCTGTCGATTAACCTCATGAGGTATTGATTAGCAAATGTGGTCATGATGAAGCTCAACAAATAGGAGGCTTTGAAAAGGCTACGCTCACATGTCTCGACAGGCATAAGGTCAAAAATCATCCTCTGGTGGCCTAAAATACCATATGCAAAACAAAACAAGCACAATTGATTCCTAAAAGAACATTTTTTCCCCAGAAGGAGTCTATATCTATATGGTTAATGTTATAGGTTAATGTGATAGCTGAAGATCGCAGTACACAAAACAAGCAGTACCATTAAATTGAGATAATTGTTCAATGGTATTGACAACAATCACCTGATAAGTTACCCAAGAGTTTTTTTAAGAAATGCCCTAATTCCATTTAAATTTTGTGGTATGAGTTTATATCCTGGCACAAAATCTTTTTGTTTGGCAAACTTCACATTCTCCCATAATCCTTTATCACAGTAATAATCTATTGTGTGACATTTAAAATGTGAGCCAGAGCATTATAATCTTGGGGTTTTGGTGTCAGGGATGGGAAAGTGATCCACCTGTGCAGCCGAGCTCCGTCCAGCACAAAAAAAGGCCAAAGATCCTTTGCATTCTTAGGTATTGCATTTGTATCTGCCTCTATTATAAGAGCATATTTTTCTGGAGGAAATACATTATTTTTTTAAAATGTCAATTATACAAATGCATGTGTGCACACTGATATCTGACTGAAACTCACAGGAAGCAAGAGAGAAGATGTATAATCTATTTGTTTGAATGGAACACCACTGACTCTATGCTCCAAAGCATTTATTTAAAGAATATAGATACGCAGAAGTAGCCACTTTTAATGCTGAACCCAGCTCCCAAGCATAGGAAATTTGGGTAGGTTCTGTCATCATACATAGATTTGCATGCCAGCACACAAACACATAAGGAACAACATCTGTAAAGTCAACAGATGCTTTTATACACCATTGTCCAGAAATAGCTAAATTTAGTAACCTTATGAAATCTCAACCCCCCCTAACCCTGTGAGCAAAGTCTACATCTCCAGACAAGTCTAAGCTTTTCCAGTCCTCAGCCTGTCTGGCGTTTTCACTTCAGCTCCTGCCAAAATAGCGGTTTTCTCTTTGAATCTCCTTTGACCGTGTAGCCAGCCTTGCTCCCCTAAAATCACCCTGCTTTTCTCAATTAAACATCCTATCCCCTATTCAGATCCATCTTGCATGATTTCATCCTACATCCCAACCAGAGGGAACTCAACAGAAAACATTGACCAGCATGCCTACCTACTGTATGTGATATAGAAAGATATTAATTTGGGTTAACATGAGAGCATAAAACACAGCACAACACAAAGAGCATCTAAAGAACAATCATGGGCAAAAATAATGGGGGGGGGGGTTGGGGGGTTGTAGCCCCCCCCAATAAATCAAAACCAGCTAATACAACCCCCCCAGTAATCATGTTTCCCCCGTAATAGGTGGAGACCTCAATCCCCCAATGTTCCAGCCAAAGTTACGCCCTTGCGAACAATGCAAGTAAATTCCCTCAGAGCTTTTGCTGTCTAAATCGATCACCTTAGAATACAGTAAAATGTAATAAGTTATAGCTAAGCATTCATGGAAACAGGCAAAAACAGCAAAAAAAATCATTTGTAGGATGATACCAATTATTTTAATGAAAGACTCACATTTATGAAGTGCTTGAGGGGGGAAGTATGCCGTCAGTGAGGAACAAAAGCCAAACCCACATTGTCAGAAAAAACTGGCAGATCCTTGAGGGTACAAGTAATCGGAAGCTCAGAGATCAATGGCTGACAAAAGCCCACTCAGTATGTGGCAGCACCATCCCCAGTTAGGTGACATCTCAGGGATGGCCAGTGCAGGGAACACACTGCCGATCTGTGCGCCCTAATTCTCTAGGGCAGTGGTTCTCAGTCCTGTTCCTGGCAACCCTCCCTGCCAGAATGTTTTCATTCCAACCCTACCTTAATCAGGCTTATATGGTCCTTAATAAGCTAATAATGAATGTGGCAGGTTGAAAGCAGTGTGGGCTGGAATGAAAACATTCTGGTGGGGGGGACGAGGGCAACAGGAACTGGATTGAGAACCACTGGTCTAAGGTCACATGTGACACTTCAGGGTTATGGAACTATTAGACTTGGCCACATTCCTGACAGACGGTGGTGTTTTTACAGGGGAACCAAAGTGTCATGCCCTGCCTATCGCACCTTCTTGTTTCTTCCTTAGCATGGTCCTAACGAGCCATGTCTGTTACTTGTTGTCTTACCTCCTGTTCCTGAACTTGGGAATCACTCCCAACTGCCTCTTGTGCACTCCTTCGTTAGTCTTGTATTTAAGTGCTTGTCAGTTCTGAGTTCCCCAATCTTGGCATTAATGTCAGCCCACGTTGTAATCTGTTCCTTCTTTAGTTCTGTGCTCCTGGTTTGGATCCCTCGTGATCCCGTTTGTCTGAGTTAAATAAAACCCCATTGTTTGTTCCCATGTCTGCTCCCAAGTCCTTCGTCCCTCATTGTCTGGAAAGAATGCCAAGACTCCCCAAATGGCCACACAACTACTCCTGGGAGCCAATGTCACTCTAGGTCAGGTGTGGCCAATCTTATCCGCAAAGGGCCAGTGTGTTTGCAGGTTTTCGCTGCAACTCCCTAATTAGGTCACGAATTAGAGGACTGAAGAGTCCTCACACCTGGGTTTGAACAGCTGACCTACAGCTTATCCCAAAAACCTTCATACACACCGGCCCTTTGCCGATAAGATTGGGCACTCCTGCTCTAGGTATCCGCTTGCATGCTTTCCTCTGTGCCCAGTCTCTCACCTCAGCCTGAGACTCCGGTCTTCAAACCTTGGTGATTTATGAATAACCCACTGATTAACCTGCTAAGTGATAGTGATCTGGAGGAGCTCGAAGAGGAGGAAGACCTCTGGGAGTATCCTGGTGTGCAGATCGCCCCTCCAATATGGACACAGCATACCAGGGACGTTGCTGCAACTCTGATGACCTGCTCTCACTGCTCCCTCTGGAGCCCCTCATCTCCGAGACAAAGCTCGCTGCTGCTCTGCCCGCCGTCTCTAGACACCAAAACCAGAAGCAGAAGAAGTGGGCTGAACCCAACTTCAAGCCCATCTCATGGGACCCAGTTCAGGCCACTCTGCCTCAACTCCAGGCTCCCAACCCAGAGAGAGCCGCTTTGCCCTGCTTGCCTCCAAGTGACCTGGCTTTGCCCTGCTCACCTCCGGATGTCCCGTCAGATCCAGCCCTGTCCCCTGATGTCCGGCCAGCACCCCCCTTGCTGCTTCCCGATGTCTGTCTGGCCGGCGCCCGCCTCATCGTTTCCTGTCACTACCAGCCCGGATTGGAGTGGTCGGAGGATGCCCTACCGCAGGACTTAGAGTGGGACCCTCTGGGCCTTACCCTGAGCCCCACTCCATGTGCCTCTGCCTCAACTGAAGGCTTAGGCCAACCTGGTCCTGGGTCCTGGGGCAACCACTGGTGTTGGCTGGGGCCCAGGAGAGGGGCTAGCCAAATCTCCATCTCTCAGAAAGGAAGACGGGGATATACCATCTTGTGTCTGTCTCCCAGATTTTCCATTCAGTCGATGTCGCCGCCCTCCTGCTTCTGTCCTGCAGTCCCCTCGCCGCCTTCCTGCTCCTGTCCTGCAGTCCCCTCACCGCCCTCCAGCCCTGCTGGCCCTCCAACGCCTTCAGGTCCTGCAGTCCAGACGGGCTCCACCTCACTGGAGCGTCCACATCCCAGAGTCCCACCCAACTCCCCGGACATCCCCCATTTCCAGTTCATCGTGTCTCAGTCCCTGTCTCATTGCCCTGTCCTGCCTTTGTTTTACTCTGGCCTGTGTTCCCTGTGGGAGGTACTGTCAAATCCTTGCCTGCCTCCTCCCTGTCATGGCCATAACAAGCTATGTCTGTTACTCGTTTGTCCTGTGTTCCCAAGTCTGGTCATTAATGTCAAACCTTCCTCTTGCCTGTGTCCTTCCTTGTTTCCAGTCCTCCCGTTTTTGGATCCCTCGTGGTCCTGGTTGTTTCCAGACTTTGTGCATTTAGTTCAATAAACCCCTTTTGCTTCACAAAAAACATACACCAGATCCAAGGACACAACACACCTACATAAATGCACTCCAATCAGCCACAACACTCATACATATTCCAAACTTGCTATGTCTGAAATGTCAAGGTTGTCTGTTGTTAGGTGCATATGTTTTATTCTGTTTGCTATGGTTAACAATAAGACTTTTAATTTTAAACAGGTGTCCCGTTCTTCAATTATAAACAGACCAGCGGTGGAATTACGTTCAATCAGGCGAGTAATTTATACATTACATGTATAAAGTAAGTAGGTTCTTTAATTCGGTTGCAGAATGCTTTTTTGGGTCAGTGGTCTGCAGCTGATATTTAATTATCGTTCATTTGTTTGTGTGCACATGTAGACTTATAAAACTAAACCACAGTTTGTCCAACAAAATACTTACATTTGTCATATTTTTTAAATCTGATTTAGGCGTGAGGCGTGAATTTACTCTCTTTTGTATTAAACCTGAAAAGCGGTCCATATTTCATAAATCTGGGTCGCAGCCGAATTGACAGCAAGCCGAAGGGTTCCGATAAACCGGGAATTACAGTTTGCCTCCTTAACCCATTAACGACAGCAGTGCACGGTGCAAGTTCTTGTGGTGTTGGTTTGGTAGTTGTGTACAGTCCAACTAACATCATCATTGTTATCATTATTATTATTACTATTGTTGTTGTTGTTAACAAAAACCTCGATGATGATGACTATCTTACAGATATATATTAAAATTAAGCATCATTTATAAGAAACTCGTGACAGCACTGACAGATCACACTTTCCGATGTTTTTGCAAGGCATATAAGGTACTATTATTAATGCCTTGAGCAGAAAACGTGAACTTTGAAAAACGTTTTATTAGTGTAAGAAACGACATGTCCTACCTTAGCGATGTTTCCAAAACGAAGCGTCGGATCAAGCTGCTCTCATGTCGCCCTCCTAAATTCAGCGATATTGCGCTCCACAATCCCAGATCCTAGAAGAAACACTAAATGCATGTTAGGCAACACAAGCAGCTGCCGAGATATATTCAGGTCTGTAGCTCGTATGATTCTTCGTGTCACGAATCTGTTTGCAGGAGTAAGTGGCCTCGGAGCATCCACCAGTCGCTACGAAACTGTGACCGGATTATGAATGTTTAACTTGTGTTTTGACGTCCTTAAAAGCGATTCGTCTCGATCCACCTGATCGCACGTCATCTTGGTATGAAAATAATTTAAGCGCCGTAGACTGCTGGTCAAGGTTTGAAGGACCATAACAACTGCATCAGATGTGCCACATATTGCACACATAGCCTACAGTAACAATAGTAATAATAATAGTTTATATTTTATAGTAGTACTGTACACATACTTATAAATATCTAGTAGTCTATATAGAAAACTGCATAAAACTTAGTTTGTCTATAATCTTAAATAAATTATTTGTGTTTGGTTAACTCATTGTTTGCTCCGCACGACTGAAAAGTGGTTTCTAAACATTCAGCAATGATTTTGAGGAGTCTATGAGGAGGACACATCATTATACATATGCTATACATATGATACAACATATTAGACCGATTAATTAGTAGTTTACATAGGCCTGTTAAACAGATATACTGTACGTATTTGTAATAAGTCGTACAGCCATTCGGTTATGGGGGGTCTCCTACTAGCCAACGAGATCGAATTCAAGCGCACAACCCTGACAGCTGACAACACTATTATAGACGTTTGTTTATCCCGAAAGTCTCAGCTAAATAAAAATCAACTCCACTGATAACGATCCACTTTCATAGTGCTCCGGCCCCAATAGCACAAACCTTCTTACGAGACTGTAGAAGAAACATCGCCCTTAATGCTACAGTCACCCTAGTTAACCTTGAACAGGTGGTAGCGCTAGCAGCATATATATCCACCGAGACAGACTCACTAAGGGGCTTATGGATGATACAGGTACCGCAGCCAGTGTTGTCATCTTACTTCAAAAAAGTAATTAGTTACAGTTACAAATTACTTCTGCCAAAAAGTAATTGAGTTAGTAACTCCGTTACCACACTGTAAAAGTAATTAGTTACTCAGCAACATAACTGACATTATTTTTTATGTTCTACAGCGCTATTATGTTCTATAACATCTTTAACGTCAAAGATGTTTACAATAACTGATTGAAGAATAAAAACAGTATTTTAGAACATTTGGTATTTATTTGAACTTAGCTTGCAGCCTGCCATATGATATGCCTAGAAATAAAAAACATATAAAAAATAAAAATTGAAAATAAAATTCAAGTGCAAAATTAAGACACACAAATGTAAACTTGGGTAAAAAGAAACAAAGGAAAATCTAGCCTTTAAGTACTGCAGTTACTCTGTAACTGTATATTAGGCCTACTGCACAATAAACGGAACACTATCCTACTCTTAAATATTCCGAAAAGTAACCAAATTAAATATTGAAAATAAATAATGTTAACACACTTTGCATTTAAGACCCGAAAAATCGAGCGATGCTTGTTTTAACGGAGTGTCTCCGTCTCCTTCGCTGGAGCTCACGCTAGCTGCATTTGAGCTTGGGGTCTGGTTAGCAGCAGCAACAAGTTTCGTGTTAGCATGTGTAGATGTAAGGTGCTTCATAAGGTTAGAGTTGCTTGAGGTAGACGTGGATAATATCTTTTTTCCTGGGCATAGCGTGCATGATACATATACATTATTGCCTTTAATTTCGACGAGGGAGAAGTAGTGCCGATACTTCCAGTTCGGGAACGCTACCTTTGAATTTCCCTGGCTCGTCGCCATTGTCGCTGTCCAGTGTGTTCAGAGGTAGTGGAAGTCGGAGTGTCAGTGAGCGTGCAGTGAGACACCAGGAGCATGGCATCCGCCCACCCAGCCAATCATCATCGCATTTGCAGCGGCGTCATCATTATCTCTCGTCAGGCAGCTGATAAAACCAAAGCTTGACATCTCACGCGTCATTCAACCAAATTTTAGTAACGCGCTACTTAACATTCTCAGTAACGATAACGGCGTTGCAAGTATGGGAAAAATAATTAATTAGATTACTCCGTTACTGAAAAAATAACGCCGTTAGTAACGCCATTATACTTAAACGCCGTTACTCCCAACACTGACCGCAGCTGCTTCATCTCAGTGAAGATTTAACGTCTGACTGAAAAGAACTTAGTGAATTATAAAGAAATTCAAATTTTACAGAGTATAGTGTATTCAGAGTTTTCTTAGAGTATACATCCCCCAGCTCTAGTTAATTTCTGCTTTAGTTAATGTTACTATTACTATTCATATTCCTTTGTATTTAGGAAAATCTGCAACTATCAACTTCATCTGTAACTGTCACCACGCTTGACCTGAGGTAAGCCTATACTCAGTAAATTAACTATTAGCAAATTTAATTAGTCTTTCAAGTCAGTCGTGGATAGGATGTGAATTGTGCTAAATATGCCAAAAGAAGAAAAAGGTCCTTTCCCTGCCAGTCAACAAGTAAAGCTCTATGTTTTGTAGGCCTACATAAATCTCCAGAAACTTTATATGCAATCTAGAGTTTCGTACCTTTTACAGAAAAGAAATAATCTGTAAAGATTATGTGGGTTTTAAAACTCTATAAAATAAATCCCGTTAACTTGGCTGCAGACATTGTGAATAACAAATAATTGTAATCATAAACACATCACGACACTGTGAGTTCCCTGACCAAAATCGCACCTTCACGACAAACTTTCGCCGTTCATCATCTTTTTCCCGAAGGTGAATTTGACAGAATTTGTTCCATTTCTCTCTCCCACATGTTAAACAAGTTTTATCAGGACGAGTGCAAATTTTAGCCTATTTTTGTCCCATGCATCTCTGGTAACGGTGCCTGGTGGAAATCCTTTCACGTCGTTTGAACCTATGAGCAAAAACATTACTTCTGAGTACGTAATGTATGTATGTACACTCACCTAAAGGATTATTGGGAACACCATACTAATACGGTGTTTGACCCCCTTTCGCCTTCAGAACTGCCTTAATTCTACGTGGCATTGATTCAACAAGGTGCTGAAAGCATTCTTTAGTAATGTTGGCCCATATTGATAGGATAGCATCTTGCAGTTGATGGAGATTTGTGGGATGCACATTCAGGGCACGAAGCTCCCGTTCCACCACATCCCAAAGATGCTCTATTAGGTTGAGATCTGGTGACTGTGGGGGCCATTTAGTACAGTGAACTCACTCATGTTCAAGAAACCAATTTGAAATGATTCAACCTTTGTGACATGGTGCATTATCCTGCTGGAAGTAGCCATCAGAGGATGGGTACATGGTGGTCATAAAGGGATGGACATGGTCAGAAACAATGCNTGCCTTAATTCTACGTGGCATTGATTCAACAAGGTGCTGAAAGCATTCTTTAGAAATGTTGGCCCATATTGATAGGATAGCATCTTGCAGTTGATTGAGATTTGTGGGATGCACATCCAGGGCACGAAGCTCCCGTTCCACCACATCCCAAACATTATGCATATATGCAACTTTTAAGTATTGTCAAGTATGTTTTATAATATCGGTGATTTATGCTCATGTAATGCATTCTTTATAGTAGCCAATAGTTACACGCTACAGGCATCTCTCGATCAGTGTATATCATTTACTATGGACCTCGGACATAACTGCGATCAGACATTCCAGCTTTCTCGATAAGATGTACTGGTAAGATGACAAGATTCCTTTATTTGTCTTTATTTCATTTGCTCTCATTTCACTAATTTTGAATTTAATCATTTAGTCTATAGATTTCAGCTTTAGGATTCTTGTAGTTTAATCTAATCTTTAACCTTATGTTTCTAATTGATCTTTTGTTCTCTTTATTAGACAGTTTCAGTTGGGGCTCATTGCATTTTGTACTTGCATAACTGTACATAAATCAAATCTTCAATCAAGAGAATCTTAGATATGGGGAAAAAAGATCATTCTAATTATTCAACTGAGCAATGTTTTTATTTTACTTATCTTATTTTCATTCATTTTGTTTTCATTTTAAAAATCTCGATTTTATTACCTTTGGGGAAATTAATTGAAATAGTAACTTGTTTCCAATCTGATTTTCAGTTTCATTCTGGAAAGCCAACAATATGCCTTCATTAGTGACTTATGCAATGGGCTGGTGTTACATATGTTTGTCATATGTAGGAAATTTCATCATTGTTACATTTCCTGACGGGTCAGGGGCTCATTCAGCATGATCTAGCCCTGTGCCATATGTCAAAAATGGGGAGGAATTTCATCAACAAGAAGAAAAACAAAAGGTTTTTGACTGGCCAGGAAACTCTCTTGATTTAAAACCTACAGAGAATCTGCGGTCAATCTGCAAGAAGGAATGGACTGTACCATAAAAGATAAGCTTATTCTGATGTTAAATGAAGTATGATACTGGGACCCCAAGATCATCAAAGACAAATTTGTTGGATTCTATGCCAATCACATCCAAATGTTACTAAAAAGCTGAGGGAGGAGGTCATATTATATATTGAAATGTTGATATGTTGAATTTATTTCAATTAATTTGCAAAAGGGTATATGCTTTAATTTGTTTTTATTTGTTATTTTCTTTTTATTTATGCTCTTTCTTTTGAATTATTTCTATAAAGCACTTCTGTTATACAAATAAACTTGCCTTACCTAATAGATAGATAATAGTTTCTCTTTTTATACATACCTCACATTAAACAATGAAGCAGAGCAATGATGCACAGGGGACAGATAGCCCTGTTTGGGGCACAACAAGTATGTGATATGATTAATCTTGCTTTATTTATTAAAACAACTTTTCATTTCTGTGCTTATGTAGCCAACTGGAAGTGCAGAGCCCTCTGCTCGAGCGAGTTCAGTGTCCCCTGGGCCAGCAAATTCAGTGTCACCTGTCCCAGAAAGTGCATAAGCATCACCTTCTGCATCCTCACAAACATCCAGTCCCAGCTTAACAACAGGACTGGTAAAGACTGATTCTCATCGCGTGCCACTACCCCTCTGCCATGTTCCGGCCCCCAGCATCACTACCGCTCACCTGCAAACACTGCAGGACAGGCAGTGGATAGAAGGAGGACTGTACCTCCATATGCAAACACATATAGCAAGAAGAGTAAGTACATTTCCAGAAATTGACTTCATGCTTTGTTATTTTGGGAGAGTTTGTGTTAGCAAATCCACATATAGCAGGTTCAAGGTTATCAATTACACATCAGCCTGAAGTTTCTGCACCTCATCCAGTTTCTGCTACAACTCCTAAGCCTACCCAAGGTTCTGTCACCATAGAGGTAACACCTCCAATCCCTGCTGCTATACCTATTGTGTGTGTGTGTGTGTGTGTGTGTGTGTGTGTGTGAAAATTGTAGTGGTTTAAATTGTTATGTGTAGTGGGTGAAAATGGTTATTTATTAATATTATTGTGTGTCTTTTTCTTTTTATTTTTTGTCATATATTTTAAAAATATTATTTATAAATATAAAATTTCAAGTCTACTCTCTTCCTTGGCCCATTTGAATCAAAGCTATAAGCATATAACATGTAAAATTTTGCTGTTAATTATTATTTTTTACAACCAGTCATATAGCACTATAAATTACTCTTGGAAATTTGCAAAAAAATAATCAGAGCCGTCTCAGGAATCATGGCATTGAGTTTGGCACACACTATTATACTCCGGAGAATTACTGTAGGCCCACTTAAATTAAACAACACAGAGTTCAGGATTTTAAATTATTTCATTAATGATTTAATTCAATACTTTCTCAATATAGTTGAATATTTATGGTTCGGTAAAAATGTTCCAAACTGGGCTTGAACTCATGACCTTCGGATCAATGCTTCCCACCGTCAAAAACAGGCAAAAAGTAAGTTTTATAATGTTTCACAAAAAAAGGTACTCTATCACATGTAATGCACAGCTGAACCAACAATGCTTGTCTTTTCTCTTCCTTTTTCTCCCCTCCTCCACTGTTCCTTCATTTTTTCGTTTCCCCTTTCTTTCACTTTCAACCACTTCTTTCCACTTTCCTCCCCTTCTCAAATACACTATTGTTCCTCAGTTTTAAATCAGTTGCCAAAGCATCACACTTTTAATCTGAGGATCCAGGGTTCAAGTCCCTGTTTGGGCGATGGTTTGTCATTTAGCCATTTCTACAAAGAAAACAAAGTTACGGTTTTTTGTACAAGATTGTGGCGACTTGAAAAAAATGACGACTGGGGTGTGGGTTTTGGAGTCTATGCTAAGAGTTGTTGACTCAGGTGGGTGGTGACAGTTAAATTACTTATCCTTTCATGTCCACTCTGCAGAACTCTGTGACCGCATGGCGCTCCTTGTCCAAGGTGTGTAT